CCAATGACTTAAGCCAATGGCAATAGAAAACAGTTCGAGGTCAATGATTTGTAGAAAATATATCGGCTCAAAATGCTAAAACCAACTAAGAAGCGGGTGGAGTTGGGAGAATGATGGTTCAGAGGAACCCAGTGAGCTAAGCTAGCTCTACTAGGTCGCTCTTCAGAGGAAATGTGAGGCATGCCTCGACCTGATCCCAGAAAAAAGGTGTAAAATCCCTCAGGGGTCTAGTTATAGGAGTTTGGTTTGAGGAACCCTAAGTTCCCAGAGAAAATGCATCTTGATTGTATGCCTTAGGTGGGCTACTTTCTCAGGTGACCAGAAAAGCACGAGGTTAGATTGAGGGATCAAAGGGGTCCCTTGGCCTAGAAATTTATCAACTAGATCAAGTACTTGCACCTTAGAGGGAGTGGTAGAAGAACTAGACATTTAACTAACGAAGGATTTTGAGCGAACAAGAAGAAATGTGGGGCTAGGTTTTTTCTAGAAAGGCTCGAGAAAGATACAAAAGCAATAAAAAGTATCAAAAAAAGAAGCAAGATCAGAACATACCCATAAGTCAATCTTGGGAAAAGTAGAAAGTATTGAAGATTCACCAAAGTTAGTTCACGCGCAAATGGGTGAAGAACGATTTAAGAAAAAAAGAACTTTTTATCAGTATGGAAATGGAGAGGGCTTTATGAAGCCCAAGAGAATAACAACCTGACAAATCTGGCCGTTGGGGGGTAATTAATTCAAGAATCATTGAATGTATGATAAAATCTGGTTCGGTGGGCCCACTTGTACGTTGTATTCGTCAAATATCAGGATCTGATTCTTGTCATCTCACGTTCTCCCAAGATAGCTGACAATACACTGTACTTCAAATGAGACCATGTACAAAAGGCTTAGTGAAGATTCATATTTCATCACAAGTCCAGTTAGGTCGTCCTGAAATTGGGGGCTAGATGATCTAACACTGATAATAGCTAGCAGACCGACTTAAGTGGGCAGCTCGGGTAGACTGGTTTGAGGGAGCTTCAATCTACTCGTGTGTTTTGAGGGAGCTTCAATCTACTCGTAAGTAAGAAACCAAGTCAAAGAGCTCGTACTCAGGCTCGCGGTACTGGCCGATCTAGAGAGAGTGACCTAAAGATTAGTCTAGGAGATCGAGGTCGTACGACCAGAGGTCAGGGTATACCTCAAGATGAGGACAAGTTCGACTTCAGGTAAGCCACAACAAGTAGGTTAGGAGATCGAGATTACGACCTAATTATCTAAGGGCTGTACAACAGTACAGTAAGGGGGGGAAATCTTTGTAAGAAGGAAAAATCACTTGCTCAAGGAGACTTGTCTAGATAGAGACGTGGTAAGTTAGAAAATGTGATATGCTAGATCTATTTCCTAACAAAGCCTTTCTAGGGCAACAGGACAATTGCCCTATATAAGGGTATCAGGTTTTTTTTATGATGATATCGCATTCTACGCCTTTAAGTTGCATATTTTCGTACATATTTGTTTAGAAAGTTATGCTTGAGCGTCGAAGGTTTTTCCGCCGGAAGTGTATTGCAGGTCACCGGAGCTTAAAGTCAAAAAGAGTTCACGGCGTAAGCGTTTCAACCCGGTTCGTGACATAAGAGACGTAATATATTGTTTTAATGAAATTATGATTTTTTTTAAAAGATTACGCCAACTTAATGGCTAGGCCGCTTGACACAAGACATACTATTTTTTTATATGAAATCAATTCACATTTACTAGTCGAACAATTTGTAAGCCCACTAGGCTTATATGGTATAAGCATATTTTTCATGTATAAACGATGTAGGACAACTTACAAGTGATATTCTAAAATGCTTCATCACTTGTGAGTCCTTCATACGAGGTCCAAGTCCAACTGGGCTGGGTGACGAGTACGTCATCGCACGGTCCTACATAGAATTGACTTTAATACCATGTGAGAGTCGGGGGTAAACAGGTGAGGTCTCACGTACGTGAAGCGCACTATAATATGGTGAGCTTAGATGTACCATAGTGAGGTTTCATCCCAAAACCTGGTTGATGGGAGGAGTAGTCCACTCGTCTTATAAAGTAGACCTATTTTCTCTGTATAAATGATTGTTGGACAACTCACAAGTGATATTCTAACGCGCCCCCTCATTTGTGAGTCCTTTATACGAGACTCAAGTCCAACTGAGCTGGGTGTCGTGTACGCACAGTCCCACGTAGAATCGGCTCTGATACCATATAAGAAACGAGGACAAAACTGGTGTTATCTCACGCACGTAACGCGCACCACATGGTGAGTCAAACGAAGCTCAAATGAAATTCTATCCCGAAACCAATCAGTCGAAAGAGGAGGGGTCCACTAGACTTATAAGTTAGACCTATTTTCTCTGTATAAGTGTCAAATGATATGAAACAACTTACAAGTGATATTCTAACTTTTAATTTTTTCGTGATAATTGGACCAAAAATGTTAATTTTATAGATTGACGGAAACAATTATTTTGTGAAATATGGAAAAAAAAAGATGCGCTCTTTATTTTAGACAAACTTATAACTCTTAAAAGTATTTCATTTATTATTCACATTTTCTCTTCTTTTCATGTCACGAGTGGCACCCTAACTATTAACTATTGTATCTTGTGTATGTGTATTAATGAGCAGGGCTTGAAGATACTTAAAAAAAATTGCATGTGCTACTTAAAATTTTAATGTGTACATTGTCATTAATTGCCCATCTATATACATAAAAATAATAATTTACTAAAAAAATTAGCAAAAAAATATTGTAACGTTAAATGAATACCTTCTTTAGAAACTTTTAAAATATATGCATTAATTGTTTCAATATACGCAATTCCAAATCAGATTAATTCGGGTATGATAAAAAAGATTATTTTCTTTAATAATTTTATTAACATCTGCAATAATAATTTTATTGATATTCATTATAATAAACTAAAAACTTAATTTTCATATTAATTATTGTATTATCAAGATAGACATGACAACATATTTTAAATTCTAAACATATTATTTTTTCACAAATATTGACTTTTCATTTTAAAATATTTATGTAAAATTGTAGCATGTTAAGTATTTTTTTCTTGATCTTATTTCCTTATATATAGAAAAAGAAAAATAATATTCTTTAAATTAATATAATTTACCATTTAGTATCATTTAGGAGATAATGATCAGATCATACATTAAATAATTTTACTAATGGTCAAATAATAAAATTGAAATATATTAACTATTACTTAAAATTTCAACATGAGATTTATTTGTATAGTAATTATTTTTTTCATTTTTTATTTTACTTTCATTCCATAGTGAAATTCTTTTAAAATATATTTTCAGTGCATATATTGTAAGCTGAAAAAACTATAAAGACTTGTCATGCAAATTAGAAAAATTTCTCATGGATGTTTAATTATTATAAAAAAAAAAAATAAATTCTCAAATATATATAAATGTAAACATTTGTCCAACAAAATTATTATATATAAGCATAAATGCATTATTATTCTAAAGCTATTATTTAAAATCATTAATTTAATGGGTAAAAATTATTCCGCAAATTTGTGGAGCTTGTCCCCGACACAATTCCATAGACACTCCCATATATTCAAATCGGCCCACCGACACACATTTTCCACAATCTAATCTCATGTTGTTAAGCCTAATCTCTTCACAAACTATCAAATATTATTTTTAAAATAACTAACCAAACTTTCAAATATAATTAATTAATTAAAAATGCTACAGTCCGGTTACGGAACCATTCCGTCGGAGTTTGTAACCGTTTGATCATCATGTAACCGTCGGAGACAGTTGATCTAACGATTACAAATCTCGACGAAATAGTTTCGTAACGGGACCATAGCATTCAATACAGGGCTCGATAGGCATGTATAGATTTCGTACAATTTTCACCCACAGTAGCGGCATTGTTTAAAGCTTAAACAAAGTTCAAAATTAGGACTTGCGGAGCATATAATCATTTCTCGTGATTATGATTTGTTTTCTTAATCGGCAAATTAAATCATCACATAAACACATCTAAATTCTGACTTCGTGTTGAAGTAATCACA